AAAAAGGAGGAGGATTGGCAATAGATGTTAGCTCAAAGCTGGTCTTCCTCAGCAAAAAGAGGAGGATTAGCATGGATGTTAGCTCAGGGCTGATCTTCCTCACAAAAAAAAAAAATACTTCCCAATCCATCCTCACCAACAAGCGCATCTACTATGTTCCCCCATAGATCTCTCATTTTGAAATATTTTGCAACTGCACTTACTGAATAATTTTCCTATTTTTATTATACACTTAACTACCAATCAGAAATCATAATTGGATGAGAGAACCAGGACTTAGTTGATAAAATTCAAGCCAGAAAAAAAGAAATTTAATACTTCAGTCTTCTGATGGGCAAAACTTTAAGTTTTTGAGGTTTTCTGAAACCCTGAAAGTCTCTAAAGAATCACAAGGACTACTAGAATTCCTTCAACCCTAAATGCATAGAAAACTCATTTTCTTTCAAAGATTTTTTTCAATCTGTCTTTTTACTCATTAGTCCAAAGTATTTTTAACTAATAATTATTAACTTTAAAAATATAATCTGTAATTTAGAGACAAATGCTAGCAAATCCACAGATAGAACGAGCAAGGATCAGATTCAGTTTAGGGCATTAATCCCAGCTAGCTCCTATAATGACCCTGTGTAAATGCCTGGGTCTCTCATTGTTTTTTTCCTTTTCAAATATATTCAACCTGGCTGGAAAACCAGTCTGAAAGAAAGCTCAGCAGGGATCTCAGATAAAGCACAACTTTCTGGGTTGGAAAGAAATAAAAAAAGCATTTAAGAATAGAAAGAATAGATGTGTGGTGCATTTTTATTTAAAAATCTCCACTGAAAGACAAGTTAGGTTTTTTTGTTTGGTTTTTTTTTTTTTTTTGGAAGTTGGTGGGCTTGTTCACTGGCGCTAAATGGAATAGCTTTATCAGCTGGGGATCCTGTCACCCTGACAAGGCATTACAGAACGCAGTGAAGCCTGATTTGGGATTCCAGTTTGGTACCCACTCCTCATCTCTCAAGCCTTAGCTCTTTCTTCCTCAGAAATTTCAATCTGCAGGTATCTGACTGAAAAGTAGTTATGGGTCACAGTCACAGTGTCAACAATTTCACCAGATTACTGCAATTTAAAGCCTGAAAAATTACATTTCGCTTCAAATCACACTGGCTCCACCAATCTGCATGAATGATGTTGTGATAAATTCAGAGGTTTAGGATTTCATAAAGATTACTTTGTGTAAGATATTCCTAAAATCTGAAATTGATTTGCCAAAACAACAGCTTTTTCTAAAATCTTCTCTGCTAAACTTGCAATGAAGCTTTCATTTTTAGCAACTATCTTTCAAGAACCCCTTTAACAGCTTGCTCCTCCTTCACAGGAATCATCCAGGCCACCCAGGTGGAAAAACAGCTTTTGTAAATTCAAAACAGTGCCTAGGTCAGTGGTTCTCAAACTCTGACTGCACGTTAAAATCACCTGGGTAGCTTTTTAATACTTTTTTTTTCCCTTTTTCTCCCCAAAGCCCCAGTAGATAGTTGTATGTCATAGCTGCACATCCTTCTAGTTGCTGTATGTGGGACGTGGCCTCAGCATGGCAGGAGAAGCGGTGTGTCCGTACGCGCCCGGGATCCGAACCGGGCCGCCAGTAGCGGAGCACCAGCACTTAACCACTAAGCCACGGGGCAGCCCCCCCTGGGTAGCTTTTTAAAAATAACTATGCCCAGCCCTTTCTGATTAATTGGTCTGGGGTGGGAATTTGGCATAGTATGTCTTAACAGCTCCCCAGATGATTCTAACGTGCAGACAAGATTAAGAACTATTAGGGCCGGCCTCGTGGCCTTGCAGTTAAGTGCACGCGCTCCGCTACTGGCGGCCCAGGTTCGGATCCTGGGCGCGCACTCAATGCACCACTTGTCCAGCCGTGCTGAGGTGGCATCCCACATACAGCAACTAGAAGGATGTGCAACTATGACATACAACTATCTACTGGGGCTTTGGGGAGAAAAAGGGGAAAAAAGGAGGAGGATTGGCAATAAATGTTAGCTCGGGGCCGGTCTTCCTCATCAAAAAGGGGAGGATTGGCATGGATGTTAGCTCAGGGCTGAACTTCCTCACAAAAAATAAAGAACTATTAGCCTACAATAAGAATGGCTTGGGCCTGGCTTCCATCAACACATTTCTTTTCAGGGTCTTAATATTAACCAAAGGCTGTGAAGCACACCCTCTTCAGCCCAAGGGCTGATAATTTAAAAACAACAATCATCTGATAACAATTTATGTTTACAAATTATTCACATAAAATGTCCCACTCCCATGATCCTCTTCATTAAGCCACACAATACTTGCTGTCAGGATAAGTTCTCCTAAATCATATTTAGGCTCTATAAAACATTGAAATGTTCTAAAAACATCAATATTTCAGCATCCCAGACTGATCTCCCAGACTGCCTCCTACACCTTGAACGGTACAAAAATTTGTCATATCACATCTTTTACTTCTTGGTTTTGAAAAACATTATTGCCAGATCTACCTGTAGTGTCAACACCTTCCTTTTTTCTGTCTAACCTTCAAAGGCCACAACTCCCTTTTCTCCATCAAGCCTTCCCAGGTCACTTTGGGCCCCACTGATTTCTTCCTTTTTTGAATTTACCGTCTCAACCACTTTTTTGACATCTGATATACTGCCACTTAACCTTTCATCCACTTTGGGACCTGTTTTCCTAAGCACCTTGGGGACAAGAACTAATGCTTACACTTTTTTTTAATCACAGTTTCCAGAACAAAGTCTGACAATATATGTCTAGTTTTCCATTATAAGCTGTAACTTTCTGGCCCTCTTTACCTCTCCAACTCTTTATGTCGTGCTCTCTCCTCAACTCTAAAATTCCCCTTAATCCAACTCGGGCATCCATCCTACCACGCATTCTCAGATACTATTACTGACTTTTGAGATTTTACAATGTGTGCTAAACAAAACCAACTAGATTTCTGTCTTTGATATTTTCGGGGGTTTTTGGCCGCTCTGCCTGATCTCCCTTACAATTTTCCTCCTCTCTCCCCTCAAAATCTAAATGACCTTTCTATTCGGACAACGTCCACAAACGAGGCTTCCTTCCAACCAGCCCCATTCCCTCCTCGAGAGCCCATTTCTGAGCACCCTTTTCTTTCTCTAGCATGGCCGCCACAAAGCCGGAGAATGCAGTGCGAGTTCCACCCACGCAAGACCACCAGCGTTCTGGGGGCCAGGGGAGGACGGTCTAAAACACGGTGGGCGCGAGGACGAGGAGGCCCCGAGGACACAGAGGCCAGAACAACCCCCGAGGAGCCCCAGCCCCACCCTGCGGCCAGAGGAGAGACCTCCGTCACAGGAAGTGGGGGCCCCACCCCTCACGTCAGGGGCCGGAAGTGAGCGTTGCTAGGGCCCGGATGTTGGGCGAAGGCGGCTGTCGGGAGCGCTTGTGTAACTGAGGTAGGAAAGGCGTCCGGCCGTGGCCTGGGGACTCCCTGCAGCTACCGTTTAGTGCCCTGGGGTACCTTCACCATCTAGTATCTTCCCTTTTCCCTTTCCTGCCCATGGCCTTCGGCCTTATGGGTTGGCGGCTGGTTTGGCGGCTGGTTTAGCTACCCGTGGTTCCGCGACCGCCTCGTCCCCTCGAGGGCCTCCATTGTCTACGTGCTGTTAAGTCTGCCGCCTTCCCCACCTTCTCCTGTTTAGTCCCTTTGCTGAAATCTACTCCGGTTGTTTTGTTAAAGGAAGAAAAACGATTGTTTTACTGAGCCGTCAGCTCTGTTGAGTTGAACCAGTTGCTTCAGACTACATCCAGCCCCCAAACTTGACCGCTTCGTGTAGTTGGTCCGTTTCACCGCGACCTAGTGCTAGGGAAAAGGCAAAGAATCACCTGCTAGCAGTGTGACGTGGAAGGTGCTTAAATGGACACGGCGGAGTGATGAAGCTCTGGATTCCAGTGCCCTAAATCTATCGCAGTTAGTCTTTTTGCCCCCAAAGGATAGGGTGGCTTCCTACAAGTTGCTGAATCTGGCGCTGATCACTGCTTTAAATGCCTCAAAATCGAGGAACATAATGCTTGGTTCCTCCTTCCAAACCTCTTTTTCTTTTTATTGAAAAAGTATAAAGTAACTATGTATTGAATAAAACATGTCAAAGGAAGGTCAGAATTTCCTAATCCAGACGTGAAAAATATTTTTTATGACAGTTTCGCTAAGGATCGTCATTAACAAATGGGCTGTACAGCAGATTACCAAAGTAGAGTTCCAGCTGATCACTCGTATTTCCTATCATAGGTTCCAAGGCTGCTTATGTCATAGAATGGGGAGAAGGACTGTGGAATTGTATGAGGGGCGGAAGGAGAGCTTGCTCTAGAGACAATAGCTGTAAATCTAGCCAATTTTCAGAAGTGTCCTATGGGGATGGTTTTATATAAATTTTAGTTTTTTCCTATAATGATAAGTTTATTTAATCACAGTGCTTAATGGGGGAGATCTCGGTAGAAGAGGATTCAAACTACCAAAACTTTTCTTGTCTTTTAATCTTCCACATTTCTGTTACAGACTGGGTCTTTTATGACTGTGTTATCCATAAAACGGACAGTTCTTAAGTCCTAACATTCAAAAGTTTTCCCTCAATGCATAGAGGGAATGAGTATTAACTGGAGGGACTTAGATAACCAACTATCCATTTTAGCGTAGGAGGTTGGAGGGAGTGGGAAGGTGAAGCATCATTGGAACTTCCTGGTTGTGTTTAAGAAAAGTCAGGGTAAACTAGAATGTCTCTGGGTTTATTGGATGGATTAAGTGTATACTGTCTGACATAGGCTTCCAGGATTTCCAGGTCCCAGGAGGGAGTAAAACTGGCAGCCTGCCCATCCTGTGTTTTTAAGAACTTGAGAGGAGAGCTTTAAAATAGTACCCTGTTCCTAAGTTTATCCTGAAGTTTAAATAACAGTATTCTTGTGGTCTTGACTTGCCCCCTCTAACGTTAAATAGCATCAAACCCTAATAGATGGTAAACCGTGACACGCTGTTGTAATGGCGCTTAAAATAGGTTGACATCTTGTCACTTGAATACAGTTTAAATTAGTCATATTTGGTTTTTCTTAGCTATTTGTGAGCCCTAGAATTTATTCCAAGAGTGTGAATTAGGCAATAATGTTAAAATGCTTCGAAGTAGTAAAGAATGCTTTAAAGGGGAGAAAATATTTGGGGGAGGGGGGCTAAGGGTTTCTTATATTGAACTTGGTTAGCTTCAATTCCAGTTTGACTCCACTTCTTAGGCTACTTTTTGGTACACTTCATTTCTGATTCCCTGAACCACTGTTTGTTTGTTTTTTTCCAGCACTTGGATTCAGCTTCTTCATTTCCAACATGGAAAAAACTTACAGTATGTGCTTCTTGTTGCTTTTTAAAAATAAGTTAAATTACTTAATATAGTTTTATATGTCTGACAAGACTTTTAGTGTGTTGGGAAAGATTCACATTTCTCCCTAAACTGCTGAGGAGAAATGTCTGTGTGATAGTAATGTAGAGAAGTGCCCAAATTTGAAAGAAGACACTTGAAATTTAAATAAAGAGGTATGAGAAGTCATCGAGCTTTGAAAAGGCTGCAGTTGGAACACGTGTGTTAAACTATATTTTTTTTTAAATGAAGCATTTTAATTCTTTAGGACTTCAGTTTCTCCTGTTGATGACACAGGAATAGTAGCCTCTGTTTTCTTTCTCTTTTGAGGGATGATATGGGATACATAGTAACGGTGATGTACATTGAGATTTTAGGATTAAAGAAATCCTAGGGAGGATTCTTATTTCTCAAGTGATCCAGGAACCTTAGATGATCCAAGTCGTCAAAAGGGAGCCTGCACCTAGAATCATACAAGTGTAGAACCAAAAGAGACCTGAAAAATCATTTCATTTAACACTCAGATTTTACAAGTGAGAAAATAGAAGGTTACATAGTTAAGGACAGAGTGAGAACCAGAGTCTTATATGTTGTTTATGTGTAGTGCCCTACTTGATACCACAAGGCGCTGACCAAGTTTGAGGAACATCTGAGTCAAGGAGTGGAGGAAACTTGTCAGCAGGGTCTGCTTTGTTTCCTACTGTGCTGTCTTGTTCAGAATCTCTTTATCATTAACAAGTTCCAACTAAAGGATATTTTAGTCCCATTCTACCTTCAAGGAAGAGTCCAACAGAATCTTTATCACCAACATATAGAAACTACATGGAAGTAGTCTTTATATCTAAATATCTACAACAGAGGTTTTCAGACTTTAGCATGCAGCAGAATCACCTGGGGGGGCTTGTTAAAACACAGGTTGCTGGAGCCCCACTCCTAGAATGTCTGATTCAGAAGGTCTGGGACCCAAGAATTTGCATTTCTAACATGTTCCCAGGTGATGCTGCTGATCTGAGGACCATGCTTTGAGAATCATTGATCTCTTCTTTTTTTTTTTTTTTTTTTTGGTGAGGAAGATTGGCCCTGAGCTAACATATGTACCAATCTTCCTCTATTTTGTATGTGGGATGCCACCACACTATGGGTTTGATGAGCAGTGTGTAGGTCCACACCCAGGATCCAAACCCGCAAACCATGGGCTGCTGAAGCGGAGCATGCGAACTTAACCAATACACCACAGGCCGGCCCCAAGAATCATTGATCTTGAAGGCTGATTCTCCTTGATCTTCCGTAGGGCTCTCTCCCCCATCTCTTTAATTTTTCGTAAAATATTTTAATTAAAATCTAAAATTCCCGTTTGAGATAGAGATAGATTTATATTTATTTATTTATTCTTGGAAGCTTACTACTTCCTTTCTATTAAATTGGCAAGCAACATCTCCCCTTTATGTCTCTCATTCTTTAGTTACTTTTTTCAGCCATAATTTTTTTCTTAGGAAAATATCACCTGAAAGTGTATTAGACATGTACAATCTCAGGCCCCATCCCAGACCTACTGAATCAGAGTCTGCATTTTAACACATTCCCCAAATTATTTAATACCCAGCAATTATGTTAGTTTGAGAAACACTGCTTTAAAATATACTTGACCTTTTTCCAAAATTGACCTAAAACTCTAACCTTAATCTGATAGATTCCTGAAGATCTCCAGCTTCTTCTGTCTTTGGGCTCTGTCTCTTAGCTGATGACACTTTCGTCAAGTCTAGTTCCTTATGTCCATGAAGTTTCCTCCATTTCTTTCCATGGGGTCTAGGCCCTATCCAGGTGTGGGGAACGACTGAGTCTATGCTTCTGAAGGAAGCTTGTCAACAGAGACTGCTTTGTTTTCCAAATTAAGTTGTATTCCCAGAAAGCCAGACCTTTTTGCTGAGTAATTTGATGGTAATTATTACAACTTGAAATGCACATATACTTCATTGCAGCACTCTTTAAGTATCTGCCCAAGAGAAATACTCATACAGTGCACAAAGTAGTATATACTAGATTGGTCGTCACAGCATTGTATATACTAGTAAAAAAGTGGGAACAACCTAAATGTCCATCAGTAAGGGGACTGATTAAGAATCTGTGGTACAGGGACTGGCCCCATGGCATAGCAGTTAAGTGCGCGTGCTCTGCTGCAGCAGCCCGGGGTTTGCAGGTTCAAATCCCGGGCGCACACAGACACACCACATGTCAAGCCATGCTGTGGCAGCGTCCCATATAAAGTAGAGGAAGATGGGCATGGATGTTAGCCCAAGGCCAGTCTTCCTCAGCAAAAAGAGGAGGATTGGCAACAGACGTTAGCTCAGGGCTGATCTTCCTCACGAAAAAAAAATAGAGAAAGATTGGCACAGATGTTAGCTCAGGGCAAATCTTCCTCAGCAAAAAGACAAAAAAAAGAATCTGTGGTACATCGATATGCAGCAATGAAATATTCTTTATATGTATTGATGTAGAAGGAACTCCAAGATGTATTAAGTAAAAAAAAAAAAAAAAGCCAAATAGGTACAGGAAATCCCATCACATGCTATGATATGGATGAACTTTGAGGACATTATGCTAAGTGAAATAAGTCAGTCACAGACAAATGCTAGATGACTTCACTTATGTGAAGTACTATATCTGGAATAGTCAAACTCATAGAAACAAAAAGTAGAATAGTGCTTGCCATGGGTTGGGAGGAGGAGGGAATGAGAAGTTGTTTTTTAATGAGTATAGAGTTTCAGTTTTGCAAGATGAGAAAGTTCTGGAGATTGGCTGCACGACAATGTGAGTACATTTAACACTACTGAACTATACAGTTAAAAATGGTTAAGGTGATAAATTTTATGTTAGATATGTTTTATCACCATTAAAAATTTTTTAATTAAAAGTAAAATAAAAGTTTTTTAAATTTAGAAAACCAGTTTAGAGTTGATCTATGTTACCAGAGACCAAGGAGTAAAGCATTATGGTAGGAAGCTATCATTATCAACTCTGATGTATGCCACTGGTCAGGCAGTGTAATGTGTGTGAATCATAAGCTGCATCCAGTCTGTCAGCTGCTGACATGGCCTAGCATTTGCTAGTGATGGAATGGATTAAATGAAGGGAAACTAATAAGAATTCATCTATAAACTCTCCCTGCATGTCTCGAAACTTTAGAAATGTCGAAAAATTGCTGGTGAGGATGAGCCTGGTTGGCATAATAAGCCTGCCTGTCCTTTAGGACTTTTCTCCTTCCTAGTCATTCTGTCCTTCAAGTCACCTTTCTGGCTCATTTGCATCATGATCATGGTTAGCAATTTGTTACATGTTTACCACTCTTCCAGTGAAAGTGTCTGTTTCAATTCCCCACTGGCTTCTGATTTCCATAGCAGTCTCTTGGTGTATAAGCTTCTTATCAAATGTGGGTTGTTGATCTTATTTCACTTTTATCATTGCCTTCAGTGATGGCAACAACACTTTATTAGGTTGCCTCTTGTCCTCACAATATACTCAGAATGTGCTTAACCATTTCATTTCCCTTCCTCAACCAGGCTTGTTAAAATTTGGGGCTCAGCCTGGGCATCTGTAAAGCCTAAGGGTAGTTTTACATGTTCAGAGAAACTTCTCTAGTAGCAGACTACAGAAATGATCCCTGAAAGTATAATCTTCTAAGGGTAGTTTTAAACAGCGTGATACAGGTTACAGCTTTCTTTCATACAGCAGCTCCATATGCCTGCACTTGTCTTAACCTCAGGAGGTTCTGTTTTTGGAGATGATTCTATTTTCTAATCTGGCCAATTTGATCACTAGATTAAAGAATTCTTTCTTTCTCATCTATGTTACAAAATATGGAAAATAAAACCACCTATCTGATAAAGATATTGATTTCATTTGAGAGGTAACTAGAGTTACCAAGATCAGGAATTACTTGTAGTAGTAAGTTAAAGCAGCCAGATGAAAAAGAAATCATCTATTAACTGATATTTCTCAAGCTTCCATAGAACATGTAAGTGATATAGAGCAGTACTTACCAACTTTTTTCATGTCATGGCATACTAGTAAATAGACAAGGATGCTAGTGAAGGAGATTAACTACCTTCCACTTGCACTAGGACTAGTGGGGGATAGAAAGCACACGTGCAGTGGACCCCCACATCAGCATATTGGCACACCATCCACTCCAACCTTCAGCATACTGGTTGGGAAGCTCTGGTTGGGCTAGCTAGAGATAGGAATGACCCTGAATTAGCACTTTTAGAAAAGGGAAAGAAGATGTCATTTCATTTAACTTTTTGTTTTATAGCAAGGGTAACCAACAATAAAAAAAAAAAAAAAAAAACAGTGTTTGTGTACAACCAAATATGAACCAAGACCCATGCCTGTGATTGCTGGTTTTGCTGGACTTATTAAGATTCGATGATAACACAATTTTATCTTTTCAGAGTTACAATTTTCATTTTCAAATGTTTAGTCACCTTTTTTAAAAAATTCTAAGTTGTCATTAAACTGTCTTGTTCTTTTTTTACAGATTCTGTTGAAAAATCCAGTGTGCCTGGAATGCAGTAGTTTTACAAGGGCATGTTAAGCTTTATACTTATCCTGTCTTTCTCTCTTTCAGTCGATTCCCTGGACCCTGAAAAGCTATTGCAATGCCCCTATGATAAAAACCACCAGATCAGGGCCTGCAGGTTTCCTTATCATCTTGTCAAGTGCAGAAAGGTAGAGTCTTGTTTTCATAATTTGCCCTGTAATGCCCTCCTGAGTTCTTTTAAAAAGCCAAATTTTGTAAATATCAAATAATTTCAGCATAAATGTTTTAATTGAATGCCAGAATTGTTTTGGGAATCTACCTTTGTGTTAAATATCAACATTTATAGAAAGGAGTTTGTTTATTGCTTGGGTACATAAGTTTTTTCTTGTTTTGGCACTTTATAAACAGCTTCTCTGGAGTCTTCTCACCCTTTGGAAAACAAAGAAAACACTAATTTTTGCTAGCAATGAGAAATCCCTCTTGACTTGTGAATTTGATGTTTTTATTGTCCTGTTAAGGATTGAGTGGTATAATACACTTATTTCTGATTTTTTAGTTTTGTTTTTTTTTTAATTTTATTTATTTATTTATTTTTCCCCCAAAGCCCCAGTAGATAGTTGTATGTCATAGCTGCACATCCTTCTAGTTGCTGTATGTGGGACACGGCCT